ATATCCTGAGACATAGTTCAATTGCGTGTACTTCAGCCGGAAAAACTGACTTTTCTTAACTCATATTCGCAAATGTTTCCTCTTTAGGTTTTACTCCGTATACTCCTGCACCCACTCCTTCCATCGTTTTGGAGCCATCCGTGTACCACAGATGATAGTCTCCAGCGAATGAAAGTTTGTTCCGTTCCCATTCATTTCTGTCTGGTATTAGTATTAAGAACTTTTGGTAGAAGTTGAATGTAGGTAAGTAAATGTCACATATGGTGATGTTTAGTCCTTCCTTTCTTTGCATTTCCCTACCTAACAGGGAGTTATCGAGTAATCTTGTTAACTGATTACTAATCAACTGTAGCTTGGTAATAAAAGTCATTGCTTCCTTTTTGACTAGTAGGTGGAGCGGGGAGAGCCCCAATCCAACCTCTAGGGCTGCTGTCGGACTAGTTCTGATCGCACCACTTGTCATTATGCAGGCTAATCCCTGCAGCTTACCAAGCTTGTCTATCACAGTCTTCTGCTGAGCTTTCTTATACCAAATGGATGACCCATAAGTAACAATTGGCCTAGCAATAGATGTGTACATCCAAAGGCTAAGTTTTGCATTAAGGAACCGTGTTTACCAATGAGATTTCTCCTGGTCTATAATGCCTCTCTGGCCCTTCGTATAACGTTATCTACATGAGAAATTTCTCATCCAGAATCATTCCCAGGTACTTTACCTGTGTAACGGCTGATAGCTCTTCTCCATTCAGGAATGGGCTATTTAAAAGTACTCTTTTCCTTTTCTTTGTGAAGACAACCAGACTTGTTTTTTTTGGATTTACATTTAATCCTACTTCTCTGCACCATCTAGCTACAATTGTTCAGGGCTTCCTGGAGTTGATGTGAGATCATGTCTTCATATTTACCCCTGACAAGTATGACTATATCGTCAGCATAGTCTTGTACCTCGAAATGTTTGGCACTGAGTCGATGCAAGAGCTTGACCACTGCAATTGACCACAGAAGTGGGGATAATACACCCCCTTGAGGGCATCCTTTTGCAGTATGTGCTTTTATTTCGGCATTACCCAGAATGGATTTAACCACCTCATTTCTTAGGACATTGCTTATGCATGTGCGTATCGTACCATCGGCTCCTCTATCATGGAGGCATCTTTCGATATTTGAGTGATCAGTATTGTTAGATGCTTCCTCAATATCAAGAAAGCAACCCACCGCAAATTTTTTACAGTCTACAGACTTAGGTATCGTATTAGTAAGACTGAGTAATGCAAAATAAATCCAATTATTTTGTTGGTAGACATACTGGAAGGCGTGAAGTAGATTTATAGATAAATTCTTTTTCCTTATATGCCTTTTCATTATCTTCTCAATAGTTTTTAGAAGAAATAAAGTCAAACTTATAGACCTAAGGAATTTAGGAAGTTCAATAGATTTACCTCCTCCTTTAGGTGTGTATTTAACAGTTGCTTCCTTCCAATTAGTGGGAATGATTCCCATCGCCAACCCAGCTCTAAAGATATTAATTAGGTAGAGCTTAAGGTGCGTGAGTCCCTTTTGTGGGAGTGCAGGAAATAATCCGTCTGCTTCACGGGCTTTGAAAGGAGAAATGGGTTGATCGCTCATTTAATTTCACCTTCAGTGAAGATTTTACGGACAGTCTTCCAGTCATTGTTTCTGGGCCTGTTGGTCATCAGAGAACTGAGCTAGGAGTTTAATTGGTCGTAAATTGTAGATTCCGGAAAGTGTACGTCTGTAAGAAGTATAAGTGACTCTTTGCAGTCATTGATATAAAGACCATCAGGTCTTTTTTGAAGCCCAATGGGATTAGTGTGGCTGAGATGACTCTGTGGATTCTAGCGCTACTCCTTAAGTTTTGATTCTCTGAGCAGAAACTTTCCATGATTCTCTTTTTGCCCTTTTGTAGGCGGCGAGGGCATTTTTATAATTGTCCTATTCACCGTTGGTTTTTGCCTTGTTGAAGTGTCTGCGAGATTTGACTCTTAGCTTGGTTAACGTTCTATTCCACCATGGTACAGTTCTGTTGCCGGTCTTATTTTTCATCGGATTGGCCCCATGGTAGGCCCCGTGCTTAAGGCAGCATCAGCTATTTCTGAATCATAAATGTTGTTTATCGTATGTTTATTATTGCCTAGGTTGGCTTTGAGTTCGTCTGTATATAAATCCCAATCAGTGGCCCTAGGCACCCTATACGATTCCGCTGCTTTCATATTTAGATCAATATCAAATCCTATCTGACGATGATCAGACATGGATGTTTCTGCTAAAACATTTCAGTTTTTGATAAAGTGTTTTATAAATTGTGTGGCTAGGGTGATGTCTAGTACCTCTTTTCTGATTCTGTTTATAAAAGTGGGCATATTGCCGGTATTTAAAATATTTGGGTTGTTATCTGTAATAAATTCAAATAGACACTCAACTCTTTTATAGATATTGGTGCTGCCACAAATCGTGTGGTGTGCATTAGCGTCACTTCCAATGATGAGTTGCTTCTTGCTTTTTACACTGTAGTCCACTAGTCTTTTCAGTGATAGGAAGTCCTGGTCTTGAGAGTCTCCAGGTAGGTAAGATAAGCAAACAATGAGCTCTGTCTTACTTACTGGGGTGTCTACAGAAATAATAGCTGCTACCTGGTCCTTGTTGGTGTGCTGAGAAATAATGAAAGCATTAATATCATCCATTACCACAATACAAGCACGGGGTCAACCATGGCTGGCATGGTCGTACAGTAACTTACATTTTAGTCCCTTTATCTGGTTCTCATATACATATGGCTCCTGGATAAAGGCTAGGTCAATCTTTTCAGATAGAAGTCGCTGTGTTAACACCGCCGTTGTTTGTATATATTAATCTGGTGTTCTAGTTTGCTTTGATCACCTTACTTCTGTGTTCACCTGTTTGATCTGGTCTTGTAGTTTGCTTTGATCATCTTGGTTCTGTATTCACCTGTTCGGGAAAAAATAAAAAAAAAATATGTTTTATTTATTGAATATATATAAAATGGTGCGCAAGCACGTTGACTTAAAACCTCCCTCACGCTCGTAAACATTTATATACATTTTTTGTACTATGTTATACATTTCGACTTAAAACCGCTTTCATGTCAGATATTATTTTGTTTTATTGTTTTGACATATAATACCACTGAATGATCATACAAGAGTCATTGATTTCTTACAAAAATGCAACTTCTTATACACTGATCAGACGAGCTTTTTGTGCAGCGCACATATAAACGTTTTCTTGCTGTTTGGTGGTGGTTTGCTTACTTTCCCGTTTGTTACGTTTCTTGCTTTCGTACTGTTCGAGTTGTGTACTTTGCAAATTTTGTGATCTTTTTGCGGCGAATTCTTTTGACATATGTAATTGTTTGTTTTATGAAATGCGCCGGTATTAGTATTTTTTATCGTATTTTGAATTGTTTATTAATACAATAATAAATAATTTATAAATAAATCTTTATTTATTTATTTAAATAAATTTACGTGGATAAAGAAGATATGCATTTATTACCTCATCGATATATATTTCTCTATTTATTATTAGCAGTTTCAGATTACTTCACGTGTTGCAGTTGCGTGCATGCTGGGGTGGGTCTTAGTAAGTTGCTTATAATTTAATATTAAATAAAAATTAATCAAATATTATTTCAGATATCTGCAACAACTATTATTAAAAATGTACTGTATTATTTGGTTTATATAGGTTGGAAATTAATTAAAATGTTCACCCTCACAATATTAAAGATGTCCATCCTCACAAGTTATTATTAAAGAAGTTCATTATTAAAGTTTTTGATAAGTTTAATATATTTTGAGAAGTTTGAACTTTTAAAGTTAAAAAAGAAATAAAAACACTAAATTTTATTTTATTATTAAAGAAGTTTATTTTTGATTGAATAAAAGTCTGAGGTTCTGTAAGAGTATCCAAAAATATTGCTTTTTATTTTTAAAGAAAATAACTACATTAATATATACATTAATAAATAGAATTATTAACTTAATTTAATTACATAACAATTAAAGTTTTTAAAAATTTAATTTATTTATTAATTTAAATACACATAAATATAATTAAAGCTTTATTTTGCTTTTGTGGTTTGTTTATGATATTCCTCATTTGAATTTATTTTCTCTGATAATATTTTATTTATTTTGTAAATTTCTGTAAACAAAAACATTTCTTGCCTAAATACCTAAACCTTCCTTAAACAAAATAATCCATTTATGTTCCCTGGTTGCTATGTCGGCAGCAAACGGATCGCCAAAACAAACCTTCGGTAACAGATTGATGACGATATATCAAGGTCTGCGAGGAAACCCGATTGTGAGTTTGTCGTAGCTGATGTGTCAAAACTTATATTTAGTTTAAATATAACTTTATTGGTTTATCAAATAAGCCAAAAACACAAAAGCCGTTATTTAACGAATTTTAGATAAAAAACTATTTGATATATTTATTTTTTACATTGTTTTCGCATTAAACGAACTTAAATACTTTTGAATAGATATATATGTATGTATGTCTTAATCAATTGTAACAATTATGCATATATTACTTTCATGGTGAAGTTTCAGCAGTAAAAGAAATTCACCAGGTTACGACTATGTTGACTCATAAAATATTGAAATAATGAGCTTAATCTCTTGATTGGTATGGGTTTCATCAATTAATACGATGAGTTCAAATTTTTATTGGTGTTGATCAGACTATTTTGTTTTAGTAAGCAAGTATTTTATCAGAAATACTTATCATTGTATTGAGATAACATATAATTTAATCAATAATGTTTCACTTTGTAAATATATTTTGTGGTTACTATGTATATACATAAAGTGATTAAACAAATTTACAGAAAATGTGTAAAGATAACGTTACCTAAATTTTTGCAGTTTTAGATTAACCTTTATATTTATGCCAAAGCTCCATATTAATATTATTATTTTGATTTTGAAAAGTTTCAAAAGTATTTTATTACGGACTGTTAAACAGTTTATTTTTATATCTACATATATACTTTATAAAATATTTGTACTTATATATATATACAAGTTCAGATCATACAACAATGTGTAAAGCGTGTTGGGAATGTATAAAATGTCCTGGAAAAGTTTTTTGTTGGTATGAAATAAAAATTTTTATACGATTGTTTTGTTTCTAAACAGGCGTAAAATAAATTAAAATTGTGGATAATTATAATAAATGCATAATTTTAAATTAATTAATTAGTTCTTGAAATTAATGTTAATTGTGCCATATGAAAGTAAAAACTAATACATTGTATTTTTTAATATTAAAGTATATTCGAGCTGATTTAAACAAAATATCTAAACAATATTTTATGTTAAATATATTTTAAAATGGCTAAGTAAAATGCAGCATTGAAAATATTTGAAGTTTAAATATTTTAGTAATTTTAAAATATTATGTATTTATATACATAACAACATAATTTCTAATTAATATGTTTAATATATCGTTTTAGACAGTCTGCAATTAATTGATTATATACATTTTTAATTTTTATAGATTAGCTAATTAAAACACCAAATAAAAATAACATATTTTAAGTTATTTCATTACGAATAAAATTTTTTTCTTTTATGTTATGTGTTCTAATATCCACAGTTTTTATCCTAATTAACAAAGTTAATAATATTTTGGCTTATTTAAAATTTTAGTTGCTGCGAATGTGCGTGTAATATGTTATTGGGATTTATATGTTCTGGCTTAGTTCTTCTTATCATAATTGGTTTAATTGTTTACTTTACTGTTTTCTATAACAAAAATAATGGAGGCGTGGATGACGGAAGTAAAATAGCTGAAAAACTTGTTCAACAAACACCACAAAATTTTCGTGATTATTTCAATATGTCTTAAAGTCAGAATGTTTTAAAAGACAACACAAGATATTGTTAATCTTTATATATATATAAGTATATAGGTAGACAAATCTATAGTCACAAAATGGACAAAAATGTTGTTAAAACTACTTAAAAAAAAAAATAAAATTCCCATATAGTTTACTTATTACGTTATTTTTCGGAATAATTAAAACACATTTTACTTCTTTGTGCAAACATTGTGCAAGACGTTTTAATAATTTTTTTTTAGTTTTTACACATTAATAAATTATATTTGCATAAAAAAACATAATTTAATTTTAGAAAAAACTTGTTTACCGTTAGCGTATTTGCACGTTCTGTTTCAACCCACTAATAGTAGACATGATCTGAAAGTTTCTTTAATACAGAACATTGAAAGTTCATTTTTTGAAACATAAAACTACAAATAGTAAATCATTTAGTAATTTTTTCATCAAAGACTCAACCAATAATAAATAAAGAATTGCTGTGATAATTCTGGTATAATACAAGTGAGTATAAAAAAAAAATTTTGAGAGAAAACGTTGGAGACTTCGTTTATATAAGAGACCTCCAGAAAGTTATAAGCGAGTTGGAAAATGAGAAACATACAGTAAGCGACAAAACTTTACATACACCCCCCATTTCTGATAGCTCGTAAATCCAAAGACAAGATAGAAAAAAGTAATGATACAGTTTCGTTTAGAACTGTTTTTTAATAATAATAAACAAAAGAAAATTCATTCATCAATATAAATTAACAAAGTTATTCGAAAAAAGCCTAAAAAATCATTGACAAAAGTCTACATACACTTCATTGATTGTTACATATAGTCGACAATAATTTAAATGTTAAACGGGAAAGTACCGTTTTTCATATTTCCTGCTTGTGGCATGAGTCATACATTTATATAATGCATTTAGTTATGCTTTGTGAGTGGTATTTAATGACACGATGGGTCGACGAAAATAAATTTCAAGTGATATGGGAAATCTGGTTATTAAGTATAGAAATGAAAAAAAACCTTATGGTAAAAATATCAAAACTAGTAAATTTGACTCGATCAACAGTTCAGACGATAATAAGAAATTATAAAAATACTAAGGAAACTCACACGTAGGGATGTCAGCTTGGTTTTAAAAGAAGTTGACAAAAATTCAAAGGTAAGTGCCTTAAAATTAGTCGAACATATAGCTAGTTCAACTGGGAGGCGTGTCAATCTACGTACAGTGCAAAGAACGTCGAACAGCCACGGTTTTCATGGTAGAATACCACGCAAAGAACCTCTAATTTCTGAAAAAAACCGAAAGCTGCGCTTGGAGTTTGCGAAACAATACAAAGAAAAGGATTTTGATTTCTGGAAACAGGTTTTGTTTACAGGTGAATCCAAATTCAACATATTTGAAAGCGGTGAGAGAGCTAAAGTTTGGAGGAAAGCGAAAACAGCACTGAACCCGAAGCATAAAGGCCAACTGTAAAGCATGGTGGTGGCAGTGTTATGGTAACTGAAGTAGGAAAAATAGCTTTGACGTGGATTGGCATGCTTCCCAGTTGCACTAGCAATGTGTTCGACTAATTTTAAGGCACTTACCTTTGGATTTTTGTCAACTTCTTTTAAAACCAAGCAAAGAACCTTAAGTGAATTAAACCTATTTTGTTCTGTTTGACTTAATTTATTTGAATTATTCACAATATTGCCAAACGACAGTGATGAAGTATGTCCTATCTGAAAGGGTGTGCGGCATTTCTACATTGTTGTTTTTATATAAAATAAATTGAAATATATATGTTTTATTAATAATAACTATACTGCATTAGGCAACAATATATTCACATTACAACATTTAATAATTCATTAATAATATAACATTAAATAAAATAAATTAAATTATTAATTTATATATACATATTTACATAAGTTTAATATTATATCAATATGGAATAAACTTAACTTTTCACAGACTTCTCATAACAGCAAACCAACTTTTTTCAAACAAAAGGGTCTGTACTCAAAACCATACATGTTTACATATGAATGTGCTGCCAACTACTGCGCACAACTAGTGACAGAAATTCGTAGGTGCTACTGCTAAATGGGGTGAAAAGAAATTTGCTGCAAACTTTAGCGCGCAACCAACCGCTTTGGCAAGTCAACATGTTTGATTCATATGCATACATGTTATCGCATGCTCTCACTTTGTAGGGTTAAGTATAAAACAGAAAGTTATTTTGTAAGAGAAAATATAGAGAACAAGTAGAATTTAAATTACGATCTGAGCAAGCTTTGAGTAAAAAGCTTTATTTGTAAGCTCAGATCATTTGAATATAAAAGCAAGAGCATCGCTCACTTTGTTGGATTTTGTCGGCTAAGCGTTTTAAAGTAAATATTGTAATATGTAGAACATTGAAGTTTTCATTTTTAGTTTTAAGTTAGTTTTAAGTTTTCATTCTTTTGTACGGTTTTAAGAGGGTTAGAAGCGAATTCTACCCATTAATAAATTTATCTTTTTTAAAACACATAACCGAACTCGAATGAAATAATTTACAGTCTATTCTATTCTATTTGAGTAGAATAGAATAGACAGTGTTATTATATTTTCCACCATATAAATCTCGATTTCTGATATTATAAGCGAGAGGACACCTACATTATTTTGTTCATTTTTCTGTTGCACACAACAAACGACAGAAATTTTTAAAATCCAACTGCTTAAAGGGGAATGACAAAATATAAATGTTCTGCCATTTGAGTTGCAAACATTAGCACCACCTTATAACTATACCAGCTAAGAGAAAAAAAATTGATTGAGTTTTCATAGACAATTTTATTTAATTGTTTTTGTTTACACTTTATTTATTAAAAATATATATATACATATGTAATAAAAAATATTAATTCTGGATGTAAGGATATGAAATAAATTTATATGTATGTTATATGACATTTTGTAAATTATGTTAAGATGTGCGTCGTACACCTCCGCACCGTAGAGCAGTCATCACTGCTACACAATTGTATCTTTTTGAATCACGAATTAAAATTTTGCAAATTCCTACATCACATGTTTTTACATTAGATGAACCTATAACTCCTTTTAAATTTAGTTCTAAACTGTTTTAATATAAATTTCTACGTGTTGAAAAAATTTCGGAAGAATTTACTTTTGTAAACTTGTTTGAAAAATCGTTTAAAATGTATGAAAACTGATCATTTTTAACAACTTATATTACTCAAAATTATTAATTAGTTTGTTTTGCTCGTGCCAATCTATATCTTATTTAATTAATATCAATTTTTTTTTGCAGAGTGTCTCGGGTGCGGCATGAGTACAATTGTAGTTGTTTGGCAGTAAGCAACGCAGCCCTTATTTATAAATCGCTAATAATATAATTATTACACTTTCCGATTTTAAAAAGAGCTGTAAGTACTGTTAAGTACTGTTAACAATTATTATAAGATGATATAATATTAAATTAACATTATTAATGTTAATCTCTATTAGTTTTTTCTTGCTAGTTATTTTTAGGAGCAAATTGAAAGTGAGCATTTCTAAATTTGCTACTTAAAATGTGAAAGTAGAAAGGCAGAATGGTGTGAAGGAGTTCGGGTGAGTAGGATCCCTCTTACCCGCCTTCGGAATAAAAACCACTTTTGCCCTCCTCCACATAGTCGGTATAAAGCCCAATGCAATACTGGCTCTAGCTATTTTAGATATCGGGCCTAATAGCTGTTCAATTCCTTTTTGGAATAGTGCCGGAAAGACACCATCAATACTTGGAGATAGTGGCTTCAGCGAATTAATCACCTACCTGATTTTAGTGTAACGATTAAAATTTTTATCACCATATAAGTTGATATTGTGTAAACTAATATATTGAAAGAATGTTATATATACCTTGGACTATCCTTTTGGTACAAACTTTATTTAAAATAAAATACATTTAAATTAATTTTCATAAAAAAAGAAAAAAAAACACCCGCACTGAAACACATTTTAGTAAATACGATCAAAACAAAACACAACAATAGAAGAAACGTCAAAACAAAAAAAAAGCTTTTGTACAAAAATGTGGAACTGAAGCAAAGCTTAGGCAAGAACAATTTTCAACTTCCACACAAGTGATAGATGGCAATTCGCCCTAAAGCTGGACTTTCGCTAGATGCATGGCAGAGGGGAACATAATACAAGCTTCGATCAACGGTCGCTGAACTCTAACGCCTTCACAGATGGCACCGTTGATCGTTGACGGTATTAAAGTGCATGTTCCAGGAAGAACTTCTTTTTTTCTTCGGCTTCGACTACGTTTGACTTTGGTTCTTGGACTTAGTGAAAATTCTTTGAGTACAACTACTGTGTTAAAGACTAAGTTACAAAAAAATTTAAGTTTGATATTGAAGTATATAAATAATATTTAAAATTATTTGAAATTTAATTGTATGAAATATAATTTTTGTTGAACGAAAATTCTTGGAGTGCAAATGACATGTTAAAGACTAAGTTATAAAAAAAATCTGAGTGTGAAACGAAAGAATATAAATAATATTAAACGTTGATTGAAATGTAAATTTTATTAAATAGAATTATTTTTTTTGAAACCTAAATTCCTTGATTGCGTGTTGATCTAAGTGAATTTATAAAAAAATTGAAGTATTTGTATATTTGTATTTGTATATTAAAGAATATAATAAATAATAACAAATTGTTTGAATTTTATTATTATAAAATATATCATTAAAATTTATCATTAAAACCTTTTCTCGTTAGAGTGTTTAGACGCTTTTTTATTTGCTCTGCTTTCAAATAGTATAAATAGAGAAAGTGAGGTTCTTTAAATCTAAAATTTGCTTAAAATTCCACTGCTTGGTTGGACCTTGGAAGTGAATTTTGAATTATTTCAGTTTTTAATTTCAATATAAATTAAAAACAACAAACAGATTGCGCCAAACTAAAAAAGGGCAAAATTAGTGTTCAGCATTCTCCTTCTGAGCGTGGAAATTAACAAATTATTGAGGGAGTAAGTATACAAACAAATAAATTTACTAATGTATTGACGTCTTCTTTTGCACGCAAAAGTGATCTTCTCACAGCGCATTCGCAGTCAAAAACTTTTTCATGGAGTTCTGAAATTGGATCTTCACTGCCAAATTCTCCATTAAAAAATGTTGCAAATCAGAATGACAATGAAAAACGTGTAGCAGAGAAAATGTTGCAGAAAAATGTTTGTAATCAAAAATCAATATTGAAGATAAAAATTATTAGCGCAGGTGAAATCAAAAACACGTCTTACCTTAACTAAGCTTTATAAGAGAAGAATTAAAAATACAAAAAGTAAGAAATAAGTTAAACATAAAATGATGGGTTACAATGTAAATAATGCAAAGTTGCATTCCTTAACAAATTCCATCTCAAACCATCAAGATTGTTTAATATATTCATTCCACACGAATGTGTTCGGAACACGTTTATGTTCTTTCCAAACACATTATTATGTCAAACATGACAGTTGTATCGCACCTAAGTTCAGTGTGCTAACGAGTTTTTTTAAGAAAGCATAACAACGCGTGTTTTTCTTGAATTAAAATGTAAAAATGTAAATTTTCTGATATACAAAATAAAAGCCGTCTATGACAATTTCAGAAGTGGGATTAACCTAACAAAACGATAACGATGAGTTTGCGCAGTCTAAAAATAAACGAATTACGGGAAAAATGTAAAAACGCAGAATTGCCAACCAGCGGCAATAAAAAAGATTTAATTCGCCGGTTAGAGAAAAATCATAGTGAAGAAGCATACGTAAGTGCTCACAATGATACAGCCGCGTTAAAGGAGAGAGTTAATTTCTTGGAAAAAACGTTACGTGAACTGCAAACGAGTCAGCAGAATTTCCAGCCACAAAGTATATCTTCTCCAGTATATATGAATGAAAATAAATCTAAGGCAGAATTGAATGTAAGCAACGTCACGACAATGGGAGTGCCGATTCCTAATGTCAATATGCAGGAGCAAAGGCCAATAATGTCAACGTCTGTAAATAATTTTATGCCAATATCGTCGGGTATGAATACATTTCCGGTTAATGCGCAAACCCACTGTATGCAGCATTGGGTTGCATGCCAGTTGGTAGTGTGCCAAGCACGAGTTATATAGGTAATATGCGGCATGAACATATGAACGGGGGTCATATTGCATATTACCCACCATACGCGCAAAATCCTTATGGAAACGTTAGAGAGATTGTAACTCTTTTGCCTGAGTTCAATCCGTCAAGCGACAAATCTCTTATGCCAAATCAGTTCATAAAACGCATCGATGTGTTACGAACTACATATCGTTGGAACGATCAAACATTAGTATTTGCAGTGCAACAAAAGTTGCAAGGATACGCAACTATTGGGTTGATTCGCAAGAAGTGTTTCTTTCTTGGACGGAATTTGCTACAAAATTTTTGAAAGACTTTGGTTCTACAGAAAACATAGCAGACGTATACATCAAAATGTCCCAAACGAAGAGACAATTTAATGAAAGTTCGCAAGAATATTACTACAAAATGATGTCTATAGGTACTCGTGGAAACGTACCCGAAAATGCAATTGCTCGGTGTATAATTAATGGCATCAATGAGCCACGCTTAAAGCAGAAAATCTCGAATGAATACACTCTCTGTAATGAACTCTTACGTGATAAAAATATTTATACTGTATATAATGATGTTCAGAACTTTAACGAAAAACCAAAACCTAAATACCCGGTAAATACTAATCACGATCTTAGAGACAATTCTAAGATACAAACGCTCCATAATAAGGAAAGCGAGGCGATTAGAAAAGTCAAATGTTTCAATTGCTCTAGAATAGGCCATTATTCAAACAAGTGTCCTGAACCACAACGTAAAGAGCGTTGTTCAATATGCAATCGCACTACGCATAAGGAGACCGATTGTCCTAGTAAGAAAAACAATGCCGAGAATAAACCAATGGTTAACAAAATTGAAAGTACTTGCGAAAAATGAGATGAGCTCGTGACGAAAGTTGTAAAAGTAAATCAAAAACCGACGCGATCATTTATAGATCCTGGTAGTGCATACACTCTAATTCGGGAGACATTTGCAAAAAATTTTAAAAATGAAATATTGTGTTGTTTTGTGACTTTGAGTGGTTTCGCCGATGGAAAATTTATTTGCACCTCTAAAATAAATGCTGTTGTAGAATTTGATAATAACGAATTTATAACCGATTTATTGATCGTGGATGACGGAAAAATACCCGAAAATATTTTGCTGGGTCGTGATGTGTTGTGCCGTGAAGGCAAACGTCTTATCATAGAGGGAGACAAATGTCATATAGAAGATCTGCAAACATCGGTAGAAATACCGTCGGATGCACGCAAACAACTTAAAGATCTACTCTCAACGTACCGTGGCGTTTTTGCAGAAAATATATCTGAACTAGGCAAATATGTTATCAACAAAATGAGTATTAAAGTAAGCACTGACGTACCTATTCGGGCAAAACCATATCGGATAGCATTTGCCAAACGCAAAATCGTTTCGGACATTGTTCTTGATTTGCTTAAAAATGACATCATACGTCCTTCGTCATCACCGTATGCCTCACCCGTGGTTCTGGTAGAAAAGAAAAATGGTGAGCATCGACTCTGCGTAGATTATCGTGGACTAAACAAAACCACTATTAAAAATCCTTTCCCTATGCCAAATATGGAGGAGAAGTTTGCTCAGCTCTCAGGTAACAGATTCTTTACGACACTTGACCTTCGCATGGGCTATCCCCAAATAGAAATTGAAGAGTCCTCAAAGCAATATACAGCTTTCGTTACTACGGATGGTCATTTCGAATACAACAGTGGATAATGGATAAGATTGCGTCATCGATGGGCCGTGGTGAAGTTTTAATTTATCTCGATGATGTTATTATACCCAGTAAAAGTATAGAAGAAGGTATAGAACGGTTAGAAAAATTTCTCTGTTTGTTAAAAGAGAGCAATTTGGCGCTAAGAATGTCCAAATGCAAATTTCTTGAAACGGAACTAATACACCTAGAGCACGTTATTGATCAAAATGGAATAGCACCATGTAATCAAAAAGTAACTGCAATTAAAAATTTTAAACAGCCAACCAACGTAACAGAAGTACGACGCTTCTTGGGTTTGACTGGATTTCTCCGCAAATTTGTTCAGGATTACTCAATCATCTCAAAACCAATCACGATGTTGCTACGAAAATCAGAACAAGAGTTCGTATGGGGTGTTGAGCTGAAAAATGCATTTGACAAACTTATAAATATGCTATGTAGCGGTCCGGTTCTAGCTCTGAACGACAGTAACGCTGAACATGAAGTGCATACCGATGCAAGTAGTGTTGGTCTAGCGGGTGTTTTATTTCAAAAAAACGAAGGTAAACCGTGGAAGCCAGTTTTTTATTATAGTCGCCATTGTACGGAAGCAGAAAGTAGATATCATAGCTACGAACTCGAGGTGTTGGCAGTGGTTGAAACTTTGCAGCGATTCCGAGTTTACCTACTTGGTAAACATTTTCGTTTGGTCACGGATTGCTCTGCAATCGCAACAGTAAAAGCTAATAAGGAGCTAAAGTCTAAAATAGCTCGATGGTGGCTCAAGTTACTTGAATACGATTTCGATACTATCCATCGTCAAGGCAACCGCCTTGCTCACGTAGATGCATTAAGTCGTACTCCCGATCAACCATCAAATGAAGTAGAGCCTGCCGGTTTTATAATGAAGATCACAGCTAATATTGATGATTGGCTTCTCACAATGCAGCTACAAGATAAAGAGCTCTTGGAATTACTTGCTATTTTAAACGGAGATTTAAAGTCCCCACAAGAAAAACAAATTAAAAATGAATACAAATTACAAAATCATCGCTTATATCGACGTACCGCTGAAGGTCTACAATTTGTTATACCAAAAGCTGTAAGATGGAGAGTTGTGCAGTCCTGTCATGATGATACCGGTCACTTTGCGCTTGAAAAGACTATCGAGCGTATTAAACAAAATTTTTAGTTTCCGAAGATGCGAAAATACGTAAAAGATTATTTAGCTGCGTGTGGAGAGTGCTGCTATTTCAACTCACGAGGAGGTAAACGCGGGGGTACTCTGCACTATGATGACGTTGAACCGATACCTTTCCGTTTGATTCACATCGATCACCTTGGACCTTTCATTAAAAGTAAAAGAGGTAATAGCTACGTTTTGGCTATTTCAGATGCTTCCTCGAAATTTCTGGTTGTGAAAGCTGTACGTAATACAAAAACAACTCCTGTAATCGCCGTTTTAAACGAGATGTCCAGCTATTTTGGGTTACCTGCAAAGATTGTTACTGATAGAGGTACATCGTTTACATCCACTCAATTTGAGGAGTATTGTGACACCAATAATATTCAACATGTCAAAACAGCTGTACGAACGCCACGAGCTAACGGACAAGTTGAGTGAGCTAACCAGATAATCCTGTCATATCTGCGAACATCGAACAAAGATCCAAACAATTGGGATCTGAACTTACGGAATTTACAATGGGCAGTGAATTCACAAAAAAACGCAACTTCTGGTTTCAGCCCAAACGAACTAGTGTTCGACTTCCAGCTGCGCGATATCCTCCAAAATCGATTGTTAGCTGCCGCCCATGCCGACGCGGAAAACTCATTATCAACCATTACAATCAACGAGAAACGAAACCTAGCCGTCAAGAATATTGCTGAGGAGCGTGCAAAGTGGAAGCACCGTTTCGACGAAAAGCATGCCGAACCTTTCCTGTACAACGTTGGTGATCTCGTAGTGCTTGAAAACGAACCGTCAGCCACAGGCGAGTCACGAAAATCTTGTAATAAAAAAATTTTTTTCCGAACACATTCGTGTGGAATGTTTATGTTTATGTTTACGTTTATGTTCTTTCCAAACACATTATTATGTCAAACATGACAGTTGTATCGCACCTAAGTTCAGTGTGCTTTTTCTTGAATTAAAATGTAAAAATGTAAATTTTCTGATATACAAAATAAAAGCCGTCTATGACACTTGTAATAAACTCTTTAGTACTTTACTAATTGATAAAAGACTGAATAGTTATATTTCTAATTAATTAATTCAGATTTAAATTATTTTTACCACCTCGTAAATTGATTTGCATATCTTAGTAAGTTCTGTGTTTTTGTTTACACAAATACTTAAAACAGCTGATAGAGACAGCAATTAAAGCTTATAAGCTCAAAAACAAAAATCAAAAAGAAGTGTTGTAACACGTTCAAATCAATTACACAAAATATTACTCCAAAGTGTGATTGTGTAAATTATATTGATAAAATAAAATAATACTTTTTAATTAAATATACAGCTTTTTTATTTTTTTTTTAACGTTTTGATTCATTATAATGCCGGTTGATCGTACTCCAACAACAACTTAATCAAAAGCAAGAAATACAACAACAGCAAGAGCAGCAACATAAAACACAAAAGCGAACTTTACAAAGTCAGCAGCAACAGGAACAAAAATCGAAATTATGTCCAAATTCATTGACTTCTGTACCATCTCTATCACTTCAACCCCGGAGTGTTCAATGTAAAACTCCTAATTCCGGGAAAAATTTCTAACTTCCAAATAAACCAATCAAAGTACAAACAGGAATTGAACGATATACTCAAATAGTTAAGCGAGAACTTAGCCCACAAAAAAACGCAAACAATCGTGACAAAATTCAAAAAGTTAACAACAATTATTACAACAACAGATTTAAAGCACTGAGTGATGAAAGTTTTAAACATAGAAGAAATCGAAGAAAAAATTGTTAAACCACAGCCTATCTATCTAAGAGAAAAAACTCTAGTGATTTAGTTAATTCACTTTCAAATTTAATAGGTAAAAAAAATTTCTTTGTTGTACCTATTACAAAGGGCATAATTAATGAAACCAATGTACAAGTTTCAAGTGAAGATCATTTTCGTAAAGTAATTGCTGAATTAGAGATAAAATCGAAACAATTTTATACGTATCAATTAAAAAGTAGTAAAGGACTAATAGTGGTCATAAAAGGCATAGAGGCAGGAGTTGATATTAAAGAAATTCACGATGCGCTTAAAGAAAAAAACTTCGCAGCAAAAAATATATTTAAAATCTTAAATAGAGACCGTAAACCGCAACCAATGTACAAAGTTGAGCTGTATCCAGACAGAAACAAGTTGAAAAGTGGCGAAGTCCATCCTATTTATTTGCTTCGCTTTCTTTTAAATAGAAAAATTACTATAGAGGAATCACACAAGCGTAATTTTCCAGTACAATGCTTCAACTGTCAGGCATATGGACACACCAAGTCATACTGTAAACTTGCTAAAGTTTGTGTTATTTGTGCCAAAATCCATAGCTCAGATAAATGTCCTGAAAGCAAAGAAAACCCAGCAGTTAGAAAATACTCAAACTGCGGTGATAGCCATACAGCAAACTACAGAGGATGTCCAGTTTTCGCTGCTTTAAGACAAAAATTAAACGTTGCCCAAAGACAGCGCACCCCACAGCTTAATTTGTCAAACTTCACAACATCTCATTTCCCGCCCCTTCCACAGAATACTGGTCCTGCATTGCAACCACCGGCTTCACCAATACAGCAAATGACGTACGCAAATGCCACCAAACAAATCCCACTTCTTACCAATAGCTCCACTGTTGTTCCTGGCTTTGAAGCAATGCTCGCAAGTTTTACCCAAAAAATGGAACACTTCATGGACTTCATGCAAAATATGATGAATTGCTTGATGCAAAGCATGATACAAAACCAAAGTTCAATTGCTGAGTTGGTAAAACCTAAATGAATGCAATCACAATATGCCATTGGAATGCAATCGGCTTAAGCCAACATGTATTGGAAGAAACTAGATTTCTGGTGAGTAACAATATCGATATACTGCTTATATCCGAAACACATTTAACCTTCAAAAACTGTTTTCGAGTTTATGGATATAAGTTTTATGACACTAAACATCCAGATGGTAAAGCATGTGACGGTTCTGGAATACTTGTTAGACACACAATACAACATTATGAAATCCAAAAGCATTGTTTTAAATACCTACAGGCTGCATCAATTTGTGTAATTTCTGGTCTAACTAAAACCGTCGTCTCAGCAATCTATTGTCCACCCAAATTTGCTATTATGGTATGAAACGTGAAGATATTGCTGTTAAATCATCTTATGACTTGTCCTCTGACCATTCTCCGGTTATTTTAACTCTGACAAAATTTAATACTAATTCAAATGAGCAGAATAAGAAAACTCTTATAAATTGGAGGAATTATAGAAATATTATTAATGAGGATATAAGTTATAACTCAAATTTTAGATCACCCAAAGAAATTCATAAAGCAGTTGATCACTTCACCTAGACATTAAATAACGCTGTAATTAAAGGCTCTCAACCAAAAAGGTCAGTCTAGACAAATATAGTATTTCAATCATACATTGATTATCTTATTTCCCGAAAACGACAAGAAAGGCAAGATGGCAAAGTCTTCGATCACCCACCTCAAAACAAAGACTAAATAAAGCTTCAAAAGATCTCAAAAAAGCCCTATCTGATGACAAAAACCGCTCTTTACAAGAATATCTCGAGTCTCTTGGTCCACTTAAAGAAAACAACTATTCTCTGTGGAAGGCAACGAAGAAATTTAAAACGCCATTAAAAGTGACCCACCGCTTAGAAAACCGGATGGTTCTTGGGCTCGCTATGACGAAAAAAAGGGTTGTATTTTAGCAGAACACCTAGAGGGCGTCTTTCAGCTAAACCCACAATTATCAGATTTCCAACCTAACGTCGAATCTCCTTCTATTGTAAAAACTCCCCTTACGTTGTGTTTGGATAACGTCAAGGAAACTATCCGAACATTTGCAAATCCCAAAAAGGCACCTGGATACGATAAAATTACCGGTAAAATGATACAATAATTGTCTAATTCAGGAATAACTTTTTTAACGGTGATATTTAACAGCATCCTCGCTTTTGGCTACTACCCGAAGCAATGGAAAGTTTCTGAAATAAATATGATTCCAAAAGCAGGAAAGGACCTAACTTTGGCATCATCATATAGACCAATTAGTCTTTTGCCCCAGTTATCCAAAATCTTTGAGAAAATGCTGCTGTCATATGTTATATTATGCCAATAATAAATCAAAACAATGTGATCCCAAACCATCAATTTGGATTTCGAACAGGACATCGCACTATTGAGCACTATTGAGAATTGCTGAAGAAATACATACTGCCTTTCAGCACAAACAATTCTGTTCCGCCGTTTTCTTGGACGTAGCCCAAGCTTTTGATAAGGTTTGGCACGAAGGTTTTATGTATAAAATAAAACATTATCTTCCTGAAAATATGCATAAGTTATTCAGGCCTATTCTGAATCGCAAGGGAATGGGAGTTTGTTCCCTGTTCCCAATTCCCCTATTCTGAATAAATTTGGTATGTTCCCTGTTCCCAATTCCCCTATTCTGAATCGCATGCGAATGGGAGTTTTTTCCTAATTTTGCACAAATTCTATCCCTACCAAATTGTTGGGGACACAAGTTAAAAAAGTATTAAAAATGGTTTAATTTAATATAAAAGTAACTGAAAATGATCAGATTTTTGAATATATTTTAATAAAATTATTATTATAATAAAATTATTACAATAAATTTAATATTTTCAAAGTTTTATTTTTTGATTAGTTTTCCGAATATATTTTAATAAATTTAATATAACAAAATTTTCATTTAATATATTTTATTAAAATTATTATTTTAATAAAAGTATAACAAATTTGAAATATTTAAATTTTTATTTATTTATTTTATTCACACGGGTTTTTTCCACTAATTAAAGTGTTAACTATTGTTTTTAAAACAATAGAAAAATGAAAGGAAACCAAATTCTGAAATAAATGGATTCCTAGAATAAGTTAAAATAAACTGCATTATGTACAGGTAAAACATTGCTTCTTTTTTATTGTAAGATCTGCACAGGTATAAACTATTATTAGTTCATTAATTGAAGCATGAAGGACATTTCTATCCTAATTATATAAAAAAAGTAAATTATAATTTACGCAAATTTTATATAAAAGCAGTGAATGTTTGAAAATAAAGACATTGAAGAATTGATATCATAACGTAAGGTTTTTTTTTAATTAGTTAAAAATTTAGAAAAGAGTTAAATTTAACATTTAAGTAACCAATAATAATAAATTTTTCGAATATATTTTAATGTGATATTTAATGTCTGATAAGCTCCTTCAGCAAAGAAACGCAAACAAGCGCTCAATTTCACAATTGGAGCAACTGCAAACTGCTTCTTTGCTGGTTGTAGTTCCTCCGTAAGTTCCTCTAACAGGTAAATAAACGCTGGTTTATTTACTCTGTAATATTTTTGAAATCTATAATGAAAAAAAAGTTTATTTTAAAACCAAATTAAATTTACATTTGTACTTACAAGAAATTAGACAGCTCAAGTGGATTTGCTGCGTCTCTCAAGTTTCTCCGATTGATCCTCTGTTTCAAAATTTCTCGCTCATGTTCTTGAGCCAAATCCTCCGCTAATATTCGTAATGCAATTGAATGCATTTTTAAAGTTTTTAACAATTTTTTATATAAATAAACATCAACAACTGCACAATTCTTTTTATAAGTTTATTTTTCTCATTAAAATAAAAGTTTTTCATTAATCACTTATTCACTTAATCACTTATTTATATTTATTTTTAATAATTTGTGCAGCAAACAAATAATGCGATTTTAACATTTAAATCAACATATGATACGCAACTGTTTTTTTTGTTTTGCTCATTTTCTCACTTTTCGTCATTAAAAAGTGGCATGGTTGCCAAAATTTAACAAAACAAATTTGAAATTGTTGTTGTTCACGAAACTGCTGTCTCCCTAGCGATTCAGAATAAGGGAGCTGTGTGTTCGGGAACAGCGTGGGAATAGGGAGTTTTTTCGCTGGGAGTATTCAGAATAGGCCTGATTGTATTCATATATATCTTCTAGAAAATTTAGATTGAAATACAATACTTTTATTTCAAGAGAAATCGACATAATGGCTGGTATTCCTCAAGAAAGCGTATTGGGGCCGTTTCTGTATATAATCTGTTTATATTTACATTTAATTAATATTATTTTATATTTTTGTTTTTGTTATGATATTTGGTTACATGTGTTTACATATTATTTGGGCCAACACTGCGACCAGTCATTGACCAACGAAAAGTGCAATTTTGCATTATCAGCTTTTCTTGTTGGTCAATGCACTGAAGAAAGTGTGTAATATGTTGGTCTTTAATTATGTCAGCATAGCTTAGGCAAAATTATTTATTTGTGAATTATGCATTAATATTTATTGTTAATTAATGCATAATTTAATAGCTTTTTTATGAAATAATTTTGTATAAATAGAAGAAATAATTCAAATAAAGTTCAGAAAAATACAGAAAAATCAATACGGCTCAATTATTGATATCATATCTCTATTCTCTCATCTCGATTAGTTTGGGTTTCAAGTGCTCAAATTAATCAACACAAAAAATACAAGTAGTTTGGGTTACAAGTGCTCAAACTACTCTACGCACAAAATTAGGCTACCAAGCTAGCACAGATTAAGGATCTGGGTTAGCACCAAGTAGCGTACATAATCTACACATCTGATCTCCCACTACTCTCAAATCACATACTAACTACTTTCGCGGATGACACTGCAATTCTTAGTTCTAACAGTGACCACATAAGGGCGTCCCAAAGTCTCTCGACTCACTTAAGTCTATTGGAGAAGTGGCTAGCAAAATGGCGCATAAAAGTTGACGAAACGAAAAGTGTGTATGTCACGTTTACTCTGCGAAAAGAACATGCCCCCCTGTTAAGCTGAATAACATCATTATACCCCAGTCACATGATGTAAAATATCTTGGCATTCATCTTAATAGAAGGCTGACTTGGAGTTAGCACATTGAAAGCAAAAAATCTTAAATTAAATTGAAATCACAGCAGCTCCATTGGCTTATTAATAAAAACTCTAAACTAACTCTGAAAAATAAAGTCCTGGTATACAATTCAATCTTAAAACCTATCTGGTCCTATGGTATAGAACTCTGCAGTACAGCATGTGCTTCTAATATCGAAAAAAAACAGAGAGTTCAAAACAAATTACTTGGACAAATAACCGATGCTCCTTGGTATCTCAAAAATGTACATATCCATAACGACACATACATATCCATATCCAACTGTTGCAGACGTCATTAGAACATGCGGCTAAAAATATAAAATGAAACTTCACCAACATAGTAATCCAAAGACTCAACAGCTGCTTTCTGATACCACAATATCTGGACTTAAGCAAAAAAGCTTCATACCACCTTAACGTAATTTTATCAAAAATGTTGCTATAAATTTTGATAATAATAATCCATTTCATTTTATTATAAATTTTAAATTCCTTTTTTGCACCTGCTAATTGCATTATGTTTAGTTTTTAAAATTTGATTACATAATTGTCAATTTCTAATCAGAAAGATACAATTTAAAATAAAATAATATACAAAAAAAAAAAAATTTCTCGCAATAGACTTCTGATGAAACACACCTCTTTGACTCGCAAACACATAGCTATATATTCTGCCTCCATGGTGCTAATGGTGCTACCACACTTTGTTTTCTTGATTCCCATGCGATGAGGTTTTCATCTATTAGAACTGCAAACCCACTATAGGAACGACGATCAGTACTATCTGCAGCCCAATCGGCATCTGAAAAACAAACTAATCCCTGACTATTAGGTTTATAAGTTAACATACCCTTAGGATTTGCTCGCAGATATCTGAATACTCGTTTTGCTGCTATAAAGTGCTCTTGGTGGGGATGTGTACTGAACTGCGCCAATTTAGACACTGCATGAGCAATATCTGGTCTTGACACTACGGCCACATAATTCAAGTTCTCAATTAGTGATTGATATTTTTTAATATCTCCACCTATGCAGTTTTCAATACAGCATTTTTCCAACACTGTACCTTTAGCAAATGGGGTTTGCACTCCTTTGCAATCATGCATATTATTCGCTTTAAAAAGTTCCATCGTAAAATAATTCTGATGTATTCTGATTTCGCCTAACTGTCCTTCTCTTGTGATTTCCATTATCAAATAATTTTTAATAGGACCTCGATCTTCTATTTCAACACAATGTTGTAGCTACTGGAATGTTTTCTGCATTATTTTTTCACATGAACTAGCGAGAATAATATCATCAACATATATAGATATTAAAGATATTTGTGATTCCCCAATCATTCTGTAGATACAATTATCTGTTTTGCAACGTTCAAACCCAATAGAAGTCAAAATTGAATTAATCGTTTCATTCCAATTTTTACCAGATTGTTTCAGTCCATAAATAGCTTTATTTAATTTACATAACTGATGTGGAGATTTTTCATTTATAAATCCATCAGATTTCTTCATATAGACATCTTCTGCTAAATCTCCATTCAAGTAAGCTGGTACTACATCGAAATGTTTTATAAATAGTTTGTACTGTACCGCAAGAGCTAATATTAAAAGAAAAGAAGAATGCCCCTGCAACCGGCGCAAAAGTATCTGTGTAGTCTAACCCAAACTTCTGTGTGCATTCTTGTGCCACTAAGCGAGCCTTATATTTTTTTCCGGTTCCATCAGGATTATATTTGATTGTGAAAACCCATCTTGAACCTACCATATTACTGCCCATGGGACGGTCTACTAAGGTCCAAGTGTTATTCTTAGTGAGTGCGTTGTATTCCATTTGCATCGCAGCTTTCCATTTCATGTGATCATCTGAATGTACTGCCTCTTGCAAAGATTTTGTAACTTCACATACTATATTAATGACGTCCGTTGTTTCATCGGCACTCACCTCTTTGGTGTTTTGTAAGTTTTGAATTCTATGTGCTTTAGGTCTTAATCTTTTCGAATTCCAAATTAGTTCTCCAGCTTTATTACTTAGCACAGACCCTTCATTGTTGCTTTCTGAATCGTCACTGTCTGCACTTTCAAACACGTTGTTTTCATATTCGATGTCTTTAAATTTATTCTCACGATCTTCCTTTACATTTTCACGTTCAGCGACCAATTGATCACATTTTTTATTTTTTTTTAACCATTCTGTCCAGTAATTCGAACAATTCTTCATTGTCACTGTTTTCTTCGTTAAAGACGGCTTTTGATTTTTGGTTTTCAAAAAATATTACATCCCGAGCAATTACTAATTTCCGATTTTTAGGATTATATAATCTATATCCTTTTGAATTTGACGCGTAACCGACGAATATCATTTCTTCACCTTTAGATTCGAGCTTAGACTCACTCTGACGTTTATTTAGTACGATAGCTTTGCAACCGAAAATTTTTAAATATTTTACACTTGGTTTTTTGTGGAACCAACATTCGTACGGAGTTTTATTATTTAATACTTCTGTCACAAATTATTTTATGTTAAATAATGTAATATGTAATGCGATCGCACACGGAAGAACCACCGCAATGCAAGTAGAATATTTGGTCATAGCAAGTATGCAATTGCTATTTGACACTTTTTTTTCTGTGCTACTATTCTGCACATGTCGATAAGACACACTTGAATGTGTCATAATATTTTCTAAGCATGGATGTGGGTCAACCTTTTTAGTGCCGACGCAATTAAAATTATTAGGAAAATTGTTAATAAAATGCAGATTTGAAATTGAGCTCAAGCAGCTTACACAAAATCTCATTTTTTATTTTTGTCTCGGCATTCTCGTAAAGAATTCTGATCCTAAAGCAATCCAGGAATTAAATTTTAAATAATATAATAAAAGAAAAAAACATTTTTATTATATAATCATTATATGGCAATCCTGCCATTATAAAATAATAATAATAATATATATATCAATAAACATATTTTTCTCAAATTTTTTTGGTTCTTTTAAAATTCGCAGTAAACCCTATCGCCAGTATCTTGATCGCTCCTTCTTATTTCCTCTTCTAATAATCTCGCCTTTAAATTATCCAAGTCCGATAATTTATCTCTGCTTTCTATTGCAACTGCAAAGTTTTCCATATTGCTTGGGAGACTGGGAAATAGTAATTCCTTTTCAAGATGAACACCTATCGCTATTAATAAATCCGCAATATTACAAAATTCATTTAACTGCGGTAAATATTTTTCCGAGCTGCTGAAATTAAATTTGATTAGTTTTTTTAATAAAGAGACTTTTCTTGCGGGTCCACTCGCATTATACATGTTTCGTAAGGCATTCCATGCCTCAAATGCCGTTTTACAGTTTTTTATGTGTAACAGTTCTGAACTTTGTTTGCTTAAATTTATATAAGCAAGAGCTTTAGCGTCATTTCTTTCCCAGTCTTTCATACTCTTATCTTTTGGTGTACTTGTTACATCCCATAAATCCTGCGTTATTAATAAGCTCCTAATTTGAATGGACCATGGATCATAATTGTCCCCTTTAAGCTTCTCTACAGCCATGTGATTCATTATTGATTTTAAGTTTATCAATTCACTTTACCAATCACCTCTCTAATACTGTCGATAAACAACTTTAGGTTTTATATTTTCCTTTTTAATAATTTTAATTTCGAACACGTTGACTGGGCCCATAACCTCTGTTAGCGCAGGTGAAACCAAAAACACGTCTTACCTACACTAAGCTTTATTAGAGAACAAGTAAAAATACAAAAAGTAAGAATACAAAGAGTAAGAAATAAGTTAAACATAAAATGATGGGTTGCAATGTAAATAATGCAAAGTTTCATTCCTTAACAAAAATAATATGCAAAATGTAGCTAAACAAGACAGGATTTAGATAGATAGGAATAGATAGGAATTCAGACAGGAATAGATAGATACATTCTTGTTACAAAGCGGAAACGCAGCCCCATGACAAAACCAACTAGTCAAGTAGCTAAACAAACAAAATTAGTTGAAAACCGCGCCTCCTCAAATAAAAATAGATTTGAAATTTTATCAACTGATGAAAGCTAGAATACTGGAAATAATACCAAAAAATATAAACCACTTCCAATCTACTTAAGGGAAAAAATTCGAATGAGTTCTTAAAGAAGATGACATCCATTATAGGCGATAAACATTTCTACGTAATTTCACTCTTGAAAGGAAATTTCCATGAAATAAAAATCCAAATAAATGAAGAATTTAACTATAGAAAAATTATAAACTTCCTTGATGCCAATAACAAAAGCTACTACACCTATCAGTAAAAATAAGCAAAAGTTTAAGTATGGTAATTAAAGGTATAGAACATTTTGTACCGAAATCCGATATAAAGCAACCTCGGCAGAAGCCCGATTCGAAACAAAGTCCATCTTTAATATTAAAAATAAAAATTAAATACCTCAACCAATATTTAAAGTAGAACTTGAGCCAAACGCAAAAAAACTAGCTAAAGGAGAAGTGCATCAAATTTACAATCTTCGTTATCTTTTACATCGAAGGATAACAGTAGAAGAACTCTTCAAAAGGAAAGATCCAATACAATGTACTAACTGTAAAGAATTTGGTTATACTAGAACCTATTGCACCTTACCCAGTGTATGTGTAATATGTGAAGATCTACACAAATCCTCCACATGCCCAAAACCTAAGGAAGGTGCAAATGCAAAAAAATGCAGCAATTGTGGCAAAAACCGTACAGAAAATTATTCTGTCCCTCATGTACATTTAATATGGAATTATTGAGGTTTTCTGTTATTTTCGGATTGAATTTCATTCTGAATGATTTTATCTAGTTAGTAGTAGATTTCCTGGCGTCGCGAAAGCTTAGTCCAGTACTTGCCGATAGCTGTGGTGGTGTTCCTACGGTTGCTTCTTTCGGTGCAACCTTCAAGCCCACAGTTCCTTGACTTCCTTTTCGTAACGGAGATTCCGTTTAAAATTCAGTTAACAAAGAGCTAGTTTTGTTCCAAGCTTCTTTGCTCTCAGTTTTTCTGCTTTACGTTTGGAAAGAGTACCTGGCAATCGATATTGGACTCCACCCGATTTGCCAGTTGAGTTGCCGTGTATATTTCTGCTAGATTTTTTATATTATTCAGTTTTTGTTCTATAAAGATACCACGAGTGTGGGGAAAAGAGGTCCGCCGTGTCATAGACCCCGATAACACGACAAGCCCACAGTTACTCACTTAGCCGGGCAAGTATCAGTGAGGTGCGACGCTAAAATACAGTCTGTTAACCCCGACTGCAAATAAGTCCGTAATTCCGGGCTCTGCGCAATTCAGGATTGGGGGCGGCTGGAAGTGGGGAAGGTTATGGTGAGGATATTGGAATGATTACGAATGGGAATATTTAGGGATGAGAGGGGTGCAGGTTTGGCTCGCATAAGCTGCTAAAAGCGTTACCAGGGATCACAACGTGGAGGCACTCCTTTTGAAGGGGGTCAGTACTCAGGATTAGTCTCACCTGCGAGTCCGTCTAGTGAAATACTAGGATCGCCAAAATTACAATTAAAAATTGTAAAATATTTTAAAGAAAAGAAACATAATTTATTTCTAAAGTTCAAATTTGCAAAAAGAGAATTACAGTATAATTCGCTTAACTGCATCGATAAGATAGTTGGCTTAAATTATATTTTTTCTGCATTTATGGCTTCATTTGTATGAAAATAATTATGTTTGCTGCATCCAAGTTAGCTGCCTGTTGCACTTAAGCGCCTCGTATCGGCAGAATTTAATTTTAGGAAACGAATTTGCAAACAAAAAATTTATGGGTTTATCAATAAAAAATACTTTTTTCTATTTGATGAATATGGCAATGCATGCATTCTTTTATTTCTGCGCATGGCCGTTTTTATTTTGCTTTGACGTGTCTTTCTATAAATCATTACTATAAAATGGGTAAAATAATGCGTTTGGTTGGCTTAACAATAAAAGAAAAACTTCAAATTATTGCGGATGTTAATGATAAAGTTGATAAAAATGTTCTATGCACTAAATATAGTTGTGACAGCTCAACAATCAATCGCATAATTAAAAACTAAGTCGAAATTCAAAAGTCTGCCTCATCG